TTCAGATAGAAAGAGACAGAAGCCACAACGTTTTGCAGATGAACATTTTAATACTGTGTATGCCAATAAGGCAGTTTTTGAGCCAAAAAGCTACAATGATGTTCAGAATTTACCTAAGCACCAAGCTGTAAATTGGTATAAAGCTATGAACTCTGAAATAGCTTCTTTAAAAGAGCATAACACTTGGTCTCTTGTACCACAAACCCCAGATATGAGACTTATTGATTCAAAATGGGTTTATAGAGTTAAAATGAATGACAAAAATGAAGTTGTAAGGTACAAGGCAAGATTAGTTGCTAGGGGTTTTCAACAAATTCCAGGCGAAGATTATGATTTGTGTTATTCACCAAGGGTAAAATATGAAACAGTTAAACTTTTGTTAAAAGATGCATCAATTTGTGGAAAAGCCCACTACGTAATGTTTCTCTGCTCTTAAGAGAGTGGTAATGTACCTTAAACATACTAAACATTATAGGTTGCAGTTTACAACAAGTATTGACAAAGGTTTTGAAATTTTCTGCGATGCATCTCATGCAGTGGAACAAAATAATTGCAGGGGTGTGTCTGGTATGGTGTTTTGTTATAACGGTTGTCCATTTGAATGGAAGTCCCAGACACAAAACATTATTTGTCTCTCCACAACAGAGAGTGAATTATGTGCATGCGTTCAGGCCACTCGTGATGTAGAATGGTATCTGCAAGTATTCGCAGACCTACAGATGCAAGTAACACTACCAGTAAAAGTTTACCTTGATTCCCAGAGTGGACTCGCTATCCTATGTTCAGAAACCAATACGCAGCGCACTAAAGTCTTAAGATTACGTTTACAGTTTGTAAAGAAACTAATTGCTGATGAAATGGTTGTATTTAAATATGTTCCAGGTGACAATCAAATTGCAGACATTTTTACTAAAGCACTTCCAAAAGGTATACATGAAAAACATGTACAAAGTATGCTTTATGTTTTTGTTCCACAATGATGAACCGCAGGGGAAATGTTGAATGGTTTCTTTAAATGTAAAGGTTCATCACTGTTCCACCCGATGTGTATGTCTTTAAGGGGCCAAAGCAAGGGCCAGAGCAAGATAACGAGACCCAGCTTTACAGCTGTGAAACATAGCAGGTGCTGCCGAGTTGTACTGATTAAGCTGTGTTGGCAATTGGGTGTAGTATATAAGGAGCAGCACCTAGCTCTCCCATTACCCTGGGGGATGGGTTGGTGGTTGGGTCATGTTTGTTTGTTAATGTATTTAGTGTAAAAGGAGTTTTTGTTTTTCTTATTAAAACCTTGTTTAAATTATTTTTGAGTCCCTTTTTAATGCATGGTCTCCCCAGCAAGCTCTCTGCAGCGCTACCATACTGCAAAAAGCCAACACCTTCACCTTTACCTATTACACTTGGGGCAGCTTTGAGAATACTACTAATCTGATAAATGAAGGAAATGGTCTCTGCCTTTATATTGTTTTTACATTTATCTTTAGTGGTTGGGGCTCTTTGCAGTTTGAAACTACTTTTAAAACATAAATGGCAATCCATCCATCAATGAATAATAAATACATAAATATGCTAGCCTTTAAAATATTTTACTTTGTTGTACCTTACCTCACATGTTATTTTCGGAAATGGGGGTTTATTTTTGGAACTGCATCAGGACCCCCAACCACCTTAACCCGGCCTTGAATGAAACAGAAACAACTGAAAACAAATTGGAGTGGAGGGCTTAAAAAAGCAGAAGTTTTTGCAGAGTATTCACCTGCGCAGGGGATGCGTTCTCAGGTGAGGAACAAAAAAATCTGGTGTTCAGTGACTCTGGTTGCTAGGCAACACACTTTGGGAAGGGAGGGGGCTATTTTGAAATTTTTAAAGAACAGCAGCTCTTTTTAAAAAAAAATTAAAAAAATCTTTATTGTGTTTTCATTTTATTGCATTGTAAGCCAACTTGGAGAGCCGTTGTTAGGCAGGAAAAACATAAATACTAGGGGGAAAGTATCTGAAGGAGCGCAAGAAAGAAAAAATAGGAGGAGTTCCTTTGATCACTTGTATTTTCGACATGAGAAAGTGGTACAGAATTGTGACTTGGCTGGGAAATCGCAGGTCTAGACTTTGTTACATCCAAACCTACAAGCATGTCGACCATCTACAGATATCCTACTAAATTTAGGATCTTTTGCTGGAGTCAATACATGCATTCATTATGAATATACGTTTGCCCTTAACCCTTTGTGGCTATTAAAGAAGTTTGCACACCAGAGAAATAAAGAAAGTTTGGTTTATTAAATGAAGTGAAAGAGACAGGTCTTAGGAATTTTAAATGACGATATTCCAAAAGACAAAACTAATTTTTTCTTATACGCAACGTCTGCTGCAAGAATCCTGGTGGCTAGGTACTGGAAAGGGAATCAGTTACCCACTAGGGGAGAGTGGCTATGTAAGCTCTCAGAATACTTAGAATTAGCCAAATTGACAGACATAATAAGACAACAACCAAAAAGTGAAGTTAAAAAAAGAATGGGAGTGCCTAAATGAATACCTCAAAAGTCGAGGTTCGAGGGCAGAAATCTGGCTGAGTCTGGAATAACCTTGTGAAGTGAAAGGATATGAAAGAAGGATTTATATCTAGATGTTAGGATAGAGATGATAATGAAAACAGGAAAACAGGAAGACACAATGAGAGATAAAGGAGGTGCTGTGGGATTGGTGGAAGTCAATGTCTTGTTGTTGTTTTAGTGTTTATAATATTAACTTGTAAGATATGGATTTGTTTTTGTTGTTTTGTTTTTAGTTTTTGAATGTTGATTTTTGTGTGTTGTGTATTATTATTTTTTGATATCTTTCGTGTTGTTGTTGTTGTGTGGAAAATACTAATAAAATTCATTTTAAAAAAGAAAAAAGAAAGAGACAGGTCCCAAATATTGTATGTGGGCAGCAAACCGTACTGTCAGGCAGGAAGACTGTAACCGGCCCAAGGTCACCCCAAAATCCATGTGATCCAGAGATCTGAACCCTGGTCTCCTAGGCCTGTGAATAACTACTACACAAACACACTTTGCGTGCATCTGTGAGCACTGTTAAAGCGATATATGCAAACGTGAGACAGAAGCTCGGAATCAACTGAGAAAGACTATGGCAGGGGAAACACTGGAGTAAAAATAGTTCTTAAGAAGAAGAAATAAATCCAGAAATAACCCTCAAGGTATGGTAAACACAGGATTTCATCTTTTCAAAGCAGGAGTCGCAGCTTTGGTGTCCCTTCTGCAGGCAAGGAAGCGTTGGCTGCTAGTGGGAACATGAGAATATTTATTGTTGGAAGATGCGGATGTGCTGAAAGTCATCCAAGACGCCAATCAAAGCTCCCAGCAATTGGCAGCACCCGCCTCATGTCAATAACTTGAACGCACAGCAATCGGAAATGGGATCCTGAGGCAAGGGCACTGGACGGCAGACCAAGCCGTGTGGGTTCTGTGCTCAGTGAAGGGCTGGGAGACAGATAAGCCACCTCGGCTGTTAGATCTTCTTCTCAGGGCTTGAGCAGAGCTGGGAGAGGGGTCAAGCCCTCGCAGCTGCTACAGGAGCTGTCGCTGGGCCAAAATGCTTGAATCCACCACGCCACACGTCTCCTGCAAATGTGCATGCGGGGTTGCGTTAGAAGAAGAAGAAGAAGAGTTTGGATTTGATATCCCGCTTTATCACTACCCGAAGGAGTCTCAAAGCGGCTAACATTCTCCTTTCTCTTCCTCCCCCACAACAAACACTCTGTGAGGTGAGTGGGGCTGAGAGACTTCAGAGAAAAGTGTGACTAGCCCAAGGTCACTCAGCAGCTGCATGTGGAGGAGCGGGGAAGCGAACCCAGTTCACCAGATTATGAATCTACCGCTCTTAACCACTACACCACACTGGCACGGAAAGAAGTCATGCTGCAACCTATCTTTGAGCATCTGCAATATGACTTTCCCGCACAAGTGGGTCACCCATTTGCATCCTCTGGGATCTGCAGAGGGGCTTGCCGAATAAGGCTTGATCCACAAAGCCAACTGTGGCGATCACACAGGGACGTTTGACGGTCTATTGATCCCTGTGCCACCACTGTGCTTGCTTCCCCGCTGCCACCAACCCGTTTCTCTCAGGTACACACGGAGTCCCGACAGTTGTTAACATTAAACCAAATAAACAAGTTGATTTTATAAGCATTAACAAGTTTATGGTTTCAGATAATTTTTCTTGTCAGTTTCTTAATCTTAGTTTCTTTACCGGCCTATACCTTCCTAATAACTTCTAACTGATTATCCCAACTGTCTATCTGACTTCTCTTAACAGATTCTCTCACTCTCTCACATCAAACTATCCCAACCCACAGACTTATCCTCCCTCTCTCTTCTCTAACACCCGACTGACTCCTTAACAACACTAACTCTAACTCTAACTCCTCCCCCTGGGTTCCCACTGGCCAATCACTTCACACTCATTTAACCCTTTCCTTATGACCTAGCATGATGTCACCTAGGAGGGCAAACCCCACTCCTTCCTTCCTTCCTTCCTTCCTTCCTTCCTTCCTTCCTTCGGAAAACGAGCACCAGTGTCGAACTCTTCAGAAATCCCCCTTACACTCAATGTGCAAAATGATCTTCTCTTAAGACTCCTGTGTAGCTTTCTTGACAGCCATATTCAGCCGCTGAAACGGAAATGCTGTCCATGGAGCAGAGAAGCCAGAGTTGCACCACAGGACAGCAAGGGGGGGCGGAAATTGGGTGCCCTCCACATATTTGCTAAACAACAGCATCCTTCATTATGGTTATCAGATTTTTTTCAATGAATCTGGGGACACTTTTTTTTTTGAAGCTGAGTAGCAACAGGGAGTCAGTAGTGGGGATGGTGAGGCAAAAGACCCTGGGCCCAAGCACACAAGCATATTGTATAAAGGTGCAAAGCCCTTCTTTCGCACCCTGTGAAATATAAATGCGCAGAGTTTTTAAAAACTGGGCAACGGCGCACCGCCCACTTGTGACTCCCGAGCCTTCCCCGATCTCCTGCCCCCTTCCCCCTTTGTTTTGACAGAAGGGGGCAGGAGATCAGGGGAGGCTTGGGAGTTGTGGGCGGGCAGCTGTTGCCCAGGAGGGGTGCTAGGCGCGCAGTTTCTCTGCCAGGAAAGGTGCAAAGCCCTTCTTTCGCACCCTGTGAAACATAAATGTGCAGGTTTTTTTAAAAAAACTGGGCAATGGCTGCCCGTCCACGGCTCCTGAGCCTCCCCCAATCTGTCAAAACAAAGGGGGAAGGGGGCAGGAGATCGGGGGAGGCTCAGGAGTCATGGGCGCGTGGCCCCAGCCAATCAGCCAAATGGACAGAATTCCTACCAGGCCCCTGCCCCAAGGCAGACGACCCCATGACAGGCATAGCAAGGTCAACAAACAAGACCCAAATTAAGGGAGGGAGGGCAGGTGATCCGGTGCATGCAGCGAAAGAGAAAGCAGATCGCTGCGAGCACTGTTTAAAAAGCCTCTGTTCCCACCCCCAAATTGGCAACCACAAAATTATCCCAGCAACTCAGGCTACCAGTCTCTGCCAGAGCCATACCATCCCAAACTGCCTGGCAACAGAGGGGTGTCTTGGCTGCCCCCCACCGCAACACGTGTTCTCTTTTAATGAGAACACGCTCTATCAGTGCCCATCAGTGGACCAGCGAGGACAGTAACCCAGCTGGAGATGGGGAGGAGAAGGACGTTTTGCTAAATCATTTTAGAAACAGCACCAGGGCCTCTGTTACGCAGAGCTGTCGATTCTGCTCTCATGGGCTTTAGCCACGTTCCTCTGCTGGCTCCAGGATTTGAAGGCATACAAACTGAGATTTCTCTTCAGCTGCTTCTGATCTTTGTAGGCACTTCGTGAAAAGTGAACATAGTAGCCCTGTTAAGGCAGTTCTTCCTCTGCTGGTCTGGCAAATACCCAGCCTCCCCACTCTCTGGAGCCAGTTCATTTCCAGTGTCACTGTTAAGTTGTGGGTGAACATATCAGACGACACAGCAATTCTTCAGACAGCTCTTGTTTATTCACAGGCCAGAACAGAACTGAACTGAAGGGTTCAGCCAGCCTGCTCATATAGAGCTCCAGTACAACGTAACTGTAACAACTTTCTGTAACTATCCAATCACTGAACGTCACTTTCGATACCTTATTTGCATATGTGGACCTGAGTGAAAACTATCTACAGTATCCCCCTGCTGGCCCAGGGTGAGAACTTCAGTACATAACAGTCACCACCCCATTCCTTGCCAAAAAGATTACACACATTGTAAAAGTTGCTCTGGATCAGGTTCAGAACAAGGTGGTAACACGCTTGCATGCAGGAAACATGTTTCCGCCATTTATTTTGAGGACAGGATTCGAGCTTCCTCCACGCAGAATCTGGGGCATTTTCTTTCTTTCTTTCTTTCTGGCGCATGTCCATGGCTGAAATATCAACAGCTCTGTCTATGGGCTATAATAAATCCGTTCTGTTTATTTAATAAAAGCCAGTCAGTGCCCAAGGATGTCAGTTCAGCATCTTTTCACAACCACAAATTCAGCAATAATATTAATAAAACAGGAGACACTTTCTGTCTGGCAAGAAATGGGATGATTATAGGCTAGAGAGCTTAAATAACAGAAACAGCATTAGAACGCCCATTCAAGAAGTGACAGTTGAAAGTACCATTTTCCTTCTCATGCTGCCACTCATTTGAAATTCCTCGTTGCAGGACTATTTTCTAATCTCTCTCTCTCTCTCTCTCTCTCTCTCTCTCACACACACACACACACACACACACACACACACACACACAAATATACACACTTCTAGGGATGCCGTTTCTTGTCAAGCGCAATGTTGTGACTTTCCTATGAGTAGGGAGGGGGGGAAAGTTCGATTCAGTTTGTGTTTGAAGGCGAAGCTACGTTAATTCAAACATTCCAAAACAATAAGCAAACCAAAGCACAGCTACCATTCAAACTTAGCATTTCTACGGATTTTGCAATGCAGTTTCCCAGCCAGGCAATGCAAGTGTAACTGTGCACAAAAATGCATATATTAGTGGAAATAACGTACGTTTGGGATGTTTAAGGGAAAAGTAGGGAAGCTTGCTTGGCAGAAATGCATATACGTAAAGCAAAATTGTGAATAAAATTGTGCATGTTGGAATAAAATTCACTCTAACATGCCGGTGAATTTTCACAAGGCTTGGCTTGTTTGTTTTAATTGCAAACTGATGTGAAAATGAGGGTAACTGAATTTAAGCCTGGAAAACTGAGAAACTGAGAGAAACCAAAACTGATAAATTCAGCCCTGTCTATGGTGAGGACTGTTTGGCATGGACTATCCTAAATCCCAGTGCAGCTGAGGGACCGCAAGCAAGTGGGGCAGAAACTGATGAGTTCTGGGAAATTCACAATGGTCTCTTCCATTCTGTCTTTTTGAGCACTGGGGGAAGCAGGGTTAACCCTCCCTCCCCAATGGTGTTTCCGCAACCTAAATAACCTCCCTGGAGATACAATAGTGCTACCTGTATTTTTATGTATTGTGTTATTTCTGTGCACTTGCAACGAAACAGATGAATGCAGCCCAAAGGCACACACCACAGGTTTCACTTCAAACGTGAAAAGGTTTATCAGGTACCAGTCAAAATTCAGCATGCGAAGACCTTCGGATGCCAAAGTAAAAAAAATAAAAAATAAAATGCATGCCTCCTCCTTCAGCATTTTCTTTTTTCTTTTTTTTAATAATAATATTTATTCAAAGTTTAAAGTTACAAAAAGAAAAAAGAACAATACAAAATACAAAAAAGAATATAACAATAACAGAGAGAGAGAGGAAAAAAAAGAAGGTATAAAAATACATTCAATTGAAATAGAACAAGAACAGATTAAACCTTTACATAACTTTTTCCTTTACTTATTTCCTTGACCTCCTCACACCTCCCAATTTTGTATTCTAGTTCAGATTGTTTTTTCAGCAAATCCTTCCAACCTTATTTTCATTTACGTAGTTTAATTTAAAGTATTATAATTTAACATCCTCTCTTTCATCAATTTCATCAACTCATTTTTGCTTAATCCTTTATATCATATCTACCAAAACTACCTAATTTTCTTTTTCCAACATCTTTCTAACATTCTTTAATATTACAATATTTTTGAAGATATACTTTAAATTTTTTCCAATCTTCTTCCACCCAGCATTTTCTCCCCTTTGTTTGGCCTGACCATGGGTAGGCAAACTAAGGCCCAGGGGCCGGATCTGGCCCAATCGCCTTCTAAATCCGGCCCATGGATGGTCTGGGAATCAGCGTGTTTTTACATGAATAGAATGTCTCCTTTTATTTAAAATGCATCTCTGGGTTGTTTGTGGGGCACAGGAATTCGTTCATTTCCCCAAAAAATATTGTCCGCCCCCCCCCCAAGGTCTGTGGGACAGTGGACCAGCCCCCTGCTGAAAAAGTTTGCTGACCCCTGGGCCTGACAATAACAGCATCTAATCTGAGCCCTCAGTTAAATAGTTTCTTAGGCTGCAATCCTATTTATAGTTCGGTGGAAGTCGGCCCCACTGAACTCAGTGGGTCTTACTTTAATAATAATAATAAAATTTAAGTTATATCCCACCCTCCCCAGCCGAAGCCGGGCTCAGAGCAGCTAACAACAGTAAAATAATACAGCATTCTAAAATAATTCATTATAAAATCAGTTTTGGAGTTTGGGAGTTTAGGCAGGCACAGGCTTGTGCTTTTAACTTTGGGCTGCATTCGGTCCACAGCTACAGTCAGCTACACTGGCAGCCGTTGAAATTCCTTGCCATAAATACAGTGGTACCTCGGTTTATGAACTTAATCTGTTCTGGAAGTCTGTTCTTAAACTGAACCCGTTCTTAAACTGAGGCACGCTTTCCCTAATGAGGCCTCCCTCCGCCGTTGCCCTTTCACCGTTCAGATTCCGTTCTTAGACCAAGGTAAAGTTCGCAAACCAGGACACTACTTCCGGTTTTGTGGAGTTCGTAAACCAAATAGTTCGTAAACAGGGCTGTTCTTAAACCGAGGTACCACTGTGCTCCCCATTCCTCAGCCCCTTCTGGACGTTGCTGCTTGTCTCTGAGCAAGCACTATAGCATGACATACAGGTGAAACTTGGAAAATTAGAATATCGTGGAAAAGTTCATTTATTTCAGTAATTCAACTTAAAAGGTGAAACTAATATATGAGATAGACTCATGACATGCAAAGCGAGATATGTCCCCAAATCTCTTTTCTGATGAGAGCAGCTTTTGCATCTCATTTGGAAACCAAGGACCCAGAGTCTGGAGGAAGAATGGGGAGGCACACAATGCCAGATGCTTGCAGTCCAGTGTGAAGTTTCCACAGTCTGTGTTAATTTGGGGAGCCATGTCACCAGCTGGTGTTGGTCCACTGTGCTTCATTAAGTCCAGGGTCAATGCAGCCGACTACCATGAGATTTTGGAGCACTTCATGCTTCCTTCCGCAGACGAGTTTTATGGGGATGCTGACTTCATTTTCCAGCAGGACTTGGCACCTGCCCACACTGCCAAAAGTACCAAAACCTGGTTCAATGCCCATGGGATTACTGTGCTTGATTGGCCAGCAAACTCGCCTGACCTGAACCCCATAGAGAATCTATGGGGCACTGCCAAGAGAAAGATGAGAGACATGAGACTGAGCAATGCAGAAGAGCTGAAGGCTGCTATTGAAGCATCCTGGTCTTCCATAACACCTCAGCAGTGCCACAGGCTGATAGCATCCATGCCAGGCCACACTGAGGCAATAATTGATGCAAAAGGGGCCCAAACCAAGCACTGAGTACATATGCATGCTTCTACTTCTCAGAGGTCCAATATTGCTCTATTTGCAATCCTTGTTTTGCTGATTTCATTTAATATTATAATTTTCTGAGATTGTTAATTTTGGGTTTTCATCGGCTGTATGCCATAATCAACACAATAACAAATAAAGGCTTGACATATCTCGCCTTGCATGTCATGAGTCTATCTCATATATTAGTTTCACCTTTTAAGTTGAATTACTGAAATAAATGAACTTTTCCACAATATTCTAA